TAACATAACTTAGAAATAAAAGAAGAAAGTAAGTTTCAAGCATATAAATTATAAAGCCAATGAAATAAATTGGTAAAATAAATTTATAAATTAGTAAAATCAGTCAAAAGACAACTTATTTAACATGTCAAATTCATTCATAAATATTATTATTGTCAAAAATTAATAATTGGATAAATAATTCTGTTTTGTTCTATTGAGTTTCATCTTTAATGAAGTTATGTCGAACACCCTTTTGTTAGTATATGTCTAATTTTGTTCTATTCATAGAATACACCACACATAAGATAGAAAGTATATGTTATATTATGTTTTATTCAAAAATACCTACCAGATGCTATTCCATGCATTACAAATTCACATGATTTAATCATTTTCTATATAATAATGAATAACTAACCAAAACCAAACCATAAATTCATATTTTTAGAGACTTGTCACCATCACCATAAACAATAAACACCATGATATTCCACATCTGTGCTATTTATTTACATTTCATTGTCCACAAGCTTATTTTAGAATTTTGGTTCATAAACATTCAAATAATATCCATACTCATTTAATACTTTTTATTTTTATATCCCTTTAATTAAAGAAACTCAAACATTTTCCTTTTTCATGGCTTGTGCTTTTTGCTGACAATGGCATCCACAAGGCTTACTAAATGGCAGTGTAATCACTGTAGATGGTGACATGACCAATAATATATAGGCTATATGGTTAATTAATGACGGAAAAACTGGTAAATATATGGTCCAACCATGATGCCAAGATAAGTGGATTCTAAATATGGTGATGGCAATCCCTAAGGCATATTAAACATTAAATTTTCCCAAGCAATAAACTTTAAAAACATCCTAATTAGAATTTTAACATATGTTTAACGATAAATGATATTAATAAACATTTTTTTATGAAATATATAATATTTAATATTATAAATTATTAAATTATATATTTTTAATAAAAAATTATTATATATAAAATTTTATTATATATTTTAGTACATATTCAAGAATTTATTTCTTAAGAAAGACATTTTTAATTTATATTATTTTGTGAACTTGTACTAGTATAAAATATAATATAAGTATGCCAAAAATTAATAAATATATTGTTGAAGTAAATTTTAAAAAGAGAGATTATTTAAATTTTTATTGATTAAAAATGATCTTATTTTAAATTAATCATCTGAAATATTTGATTGATCTGTTTAAGTGTTCCATTATCATTTGTAAGGCGACACAAATGTACACTTTTTAAAATAGTAAATACACAATCCACTACATCCATGTGTTAAAGATGGTCGAAGCATCAAACTACCAATACAAATAACAAACTACTTAGTCGAGGAAAGTTACTTTAACTTCAAAATATCAAAATCAAAGTAATATTATATGTTTGCAAATATTATAACTATATGATATAATTTATAAAATATAACTATACATATATATATATATAATTATTTTATTAGTTTCTTTTATATAATTTTACTAATATAGTGTAACAAATTTAAAAATCAATAGAGTGTAATAATTTTAGATTAATACATAATATATACAAAAAAGAATGAAATTACACTAATGTAAATTACGTATTACACTATTCATAATTTTTTTATAAAGTACAATTTTCATAATTATAACTATATATTATCTTAATTATCTATGTCATATTTTTTTATAATTAAAAATAACTACAAAATGCAATAAAAAAAATTTATGTTATATATTTTATTTTCATATATTTTAAATATATATTACATTAAATTTAATATATAAAAAATATATTAAATATCTTTAAATTTATATAAAAAAATTGTTAACGTAATCTATATGATTGAAAATTTTAGTTACATGATTAATTTTATAATCAAATCATCTAATAAAAGAATTATCAAAATATATAAAAATAAGTGTGATTTATACAAGTATAATTTAACCTCTTTCTTTGAAAAATATAAAAAATAATAATTAATTGATTAATTTAATGACATATAATATATTAATGCACATAAAATAAAATTATCTTATATGACATGATATTTTTAAATAATGTTTTATAAAAAGTATATACAAGGACATAATTTTATATTACCTTTTGTTTGATTTAATTTGTAATATTAGAGACTTTACAATTTATTTATTTATATTTGTAAAGAGATTAATTACTGTACTGATCGAATCTTACCCTTCTCCTTAGTCCTTATCTCTTTCTTAAATATGAATGTTAGCGGCTTTTGGTTTCTTAGGCATGTGACTTAATTTGTTTTTTTTTTTAAACTTTTGTAGCGAAAAGAACAAAAATTCTCTTGTTTTGCACAACAGAAAAAAATCTTGACAGTAGAAAGTAAGATTCATCGGGGGAGAAAGTAATATAAAGATCGGAGCTTATAAACGGAAAGAAATAACCCCGTTCATCTAAAATATCATACTTTGGAACTGTGTTTATCTTTACAAGAGATAGGTAATATTCCAATTCAAATACATATAAATTTTAAATATTCTTTACTGAATATTTTAAATTACTTAAGAAGTAAATATTAAACCTATTTATGTTTTTTTAATGAAATAATTTATTTCTCAATTAAATTTTATTTCTGTTGCCTTTGCAGTTAAAACGTGTCATGTAAATACAAATAAAATCTTAAAATGCAAAAAAATTTATGTTTAGTTGCGCATTTGGTCACCTTATTTTATCTTATGTATAACTTCTTTTGAAATTTAACACATCATGTTTTATATATTTTTCTCTATTAATTTATACAAATCAATAATACATCACAATTTTATTTAATAAGCAAGAAAATTAAAGAACATGGAATGAAAACATATAGAATCAGGGCTTATTTAAAAGAGTTAATAAAAAAATATATAATTCCTATAAGCTATTTTGTGCTTATCTTTATAATCTTCTTAGTATGATTATTAAAATAAATTATTTTTAACTTCTATCAATAAATTTTATTATTAAATTTATAACATAAGTCATTAGTTTAAAAATAATTTATTAAATAAACACATAATTAAATATTCATTTAAACACATTCTTATTTTTATTTCACAAAACTCAAACATAAATGTTAAAAATACTTATTTAAAATTACTTATAGATTAAAAAATAGAGATAAAAAAGTGAAATTATACCTATTTTCAACTAATACCTTAAAGAATGATTTAAAATCAACTGTCATTTGGCTTGCAAATTACTGGTTTGTGTAATTCTTAAAAATTAAATAAGATAATTATTATATTGAAAAAGTCAAATAAAAATTTGTAATACTTAAACAAAAGAAGTAAATAACAAACATAAGAAATGAAAAAAAAAATATTATGACAAAATTACAATATTTTAAAACTAAATTATCAACAGAAAAGATATGTTGTTTTAAAGGATTAATAAAAACGTTGCTTAACCAAACTTTATAAATATTAAATAAATCCACTTTTCATTTGATATTTCTTATCTAATATTGAAAAGATTAATAACAAATGGTGAGGGAACAATCAACATTATTCACAATATATGTAATAATATTTTCATTAAAAAAAACCTATTTAGTCTTAAAAAAATAGTAAATAAGACCCGTCAAATTATAGGAAAACGTGACAAAAATTAATGGCAGTAAAATGATTTAAAAAGGGGGGAAAAGACACAGAAAGCAGGGCACGTGAAAAACAACATAAACCCCTAAATACGGGGATAAGCACAATTTCACAGTGCACGTTCCCACTCGCAACACAATCCAATTCTCCATTAATACTATAAGATGCTTTTACTGTGCAACACAACTGGCATACTTTTCCCTTTCTCTTTCATCACCACTTTCATTAACTTTAACTATTAAAATTAGCAAAATTATAAAATATGTTACTAATATACAACAAATTACTTCTTTCAGTCCCTTTTGTAAAAAACAAAAAATTAAATTACCAGATAAAAAAACAATTAAATCAATTATTCTAAGAATCTTTACGATATTAAATAATATAATTACTATTTTATATATTTAATAATATTAAAAAAATAAAAAATTTAACAATTAATATATTTTAAATCTATAATTTCTTTAAATAAAAACAAAAAAAAAAACTCCATTTAACAATTTATATATTTAATGCTCTAACAAAACTACTAATTAAGAAGACCAATAAAAGTCACTCATCTTTGAAAAATGTTAAATAATATTACAAATTTAGTTAAAGAACAAAAAAAATTATTAGAAAATATAGCTATACATTTCTTCCTATAATTTTTTATACATGTATGAATGGATTAGAAATTTCACTTGTGATTTTTAATAATAATCCCTTTCATGGGTATTTAAAAAAATATAATATTAATATATTAATAAATTAAATCATGTAATTTTTAGTAAATATTTATTATATATATCTTCTTATGAAATATCTTTCATACACGTTAAATAAATATTAATTTTAGAGTTTTATTAATTTTACTTTTAATAAATAGTTAATAATAATAAAATTTTATTAAAAAAATATTTATTATATTTTTATAATTTTAATACAATAACTGTGTATTTTTTTTATAAATTTTTTTTTAATCTCTGAATGATTAAACTGTAAACCCTTTTTTTCTTCTCTCTATCACTTAGTATATATACATCAATAAATGTATAAACAACACTCTTCAAAGGTAAAATGCACCATGAAATGCAAACAAACTCACCTAAAACAGAAACATTTTTCCACAACAAGCAGTAAAGTAACTAGGGCAATCAAATATTTGCCTTCCACTTTCACTTATTCTAATTATTAGGTCAGAATAACACATTACCAAAACCAACCCAAAAAACAGAAAAAAGAAAGTATATTCTTAGATTTCTACCTACAATATCGTATAGACTACCCGTTACCCAAATCTAGTCGAACAAGAAATATATTATGTTATATAGAAATAGAAACATTAAGGAGACATTAACATAAAGCAAGTTACAAAAAGTACTTCCAACATCCACAAGCAGAGGCTGAAACGAACTAGGCAGATTCAGCACTCCACTTTACATAATCAATTAAAAAAAATTATAAAAAAACCCACTAATTTTACAAGGAAGATTAACCTGAACCCCTAATTAAATTAAGAAAAAAATAATTATACTAGTAAGTAGTAACCCCAAAATGTAATGAAATTATTATCATAATCATAATTGTTAATTATATTATCATAATTGTACCTTTACTTAGCAGTTCCTCTTCCAATCATCTCCTTATACCTCATGATGGAATCCAGCCTCTGCAATTTCAATTGCTGCTTGAACTTGTTGATGAAATCATCGGCTTTAGCATCTACTTCGTCGTCGTCCACGGCGGCGGCACCGCTAACCTTGGCCTCTCTCACGGTGGCCGGCCGGAGACTCTCTACAATGTCCTCTTCCTTGAAGTGAGAGAACGCCGATTTGCTGCTCGCCGATTTCTTCATCTTCCTTGGAAGCTTGGTCGGAACTTCGCCTGACGACGGTTTGGTGTCCGATTGTGTCCGTGTGAAATGACCATCTTGCCCCTGTAACTGGCTGTAAATTTCGTCCAGCGAAGAACCCTCTTCATGGTGCTCTTGGGGGGTAAAATTGTAATTTTGTTTGATAATGTTGTTGTCTCCGACAACATAGTCATCGTCCTCTTCATTTTCTTCGTCTGTTTCCACCACTGGTTCTTCTCGCACGTGGGGTTTGTCGGGCACGTGTGTCTCGGAAACGGTGGTGTTGGTGTCGGTTGTTAGTTTGGAAGTGAAGGGTTCGGTGGGGAAGTAACTGTAGAGGTTGATCGATTTGAGTCTTTGAAGCACAGAAGGAGATCTATCAAGTTGGGGATGTTTATGTTCATGTTCATGGGTTTGAGTTTGAAATTGTGGGGTGTTGTGAAAATGGGGGTTTTGGATTTGTGGGTCATGGGATCTGTAAGGGTAGGAGTAGAAGTTGATGGATTTGAGTCTTTGCAACATGGATGGGGATCTAACAAGGTGGTTTTGTTGTTGTGGGTGTGGAAAGTCATGTACTTGAGGATCTTCTTGTTTGTGGGTAGTGTTGGCAAGTTTTGAAATGATGAAAATGGTTCCAATTACTAGTTGGAGGAGGAGAAAGAAGACAGTGGGAGTGAACCAGCTGAAGAGGGTACCCCAGAATGTGGGTGTGGATGAGATTGATTCCTCAAGCATGGCTTGGATTTGCAAGTGAAGATTGGAGGAGTTTGGGAATGGAAAGGAAAAGGGTTTTGAATTTTAATATATTTACCTTAGCTTTAAGGTTGTAATTACTTGTACGGTGAAGGGTTGGTGTTGTTGGCACAGTTTATTTGCTTTATTATTATTGACGAGATTAATGCTTGGTATGGTCGTAGATCTTTAGAATTTTAATTGTTGGAGGGAGATTTGCATCTCGAGAAACACGTGGTGGCATATGATGGGTCTGCCACTAAGGGACAAGAAATGGAGGGTAGATTTGTGTAACGTGAGGCAGTTGTTGGATTTTGGGATATTCATATCAACCTTGACTTCAATAAAAAGACCCTTTTTTAATTTTTCATTTTCTTCTGTCTCTTCAATAATTCAATTTCAAGCTATGCAATCGGTGTCCTTGCTGTAGTTACTCTTTAGAGCAGCAAAGCCAAGCACTCTCTTTATCATTTCTTTGTTGGACTTTTGTTAACTTATGGCATTAGACATAATTATAACATATATATATATATATATATACTATTTTTCATATTATTATTATTATTTTCCCTGTCTCTCTTCGCTCCTTCATGAGTCATTATTATTATTTGATTGTGTTCGGGGACACATGTTTGCTTCCCTTTGCGTACTCTTTTTATTCTTTAAAATTGCAATGCTCAAAAGTCAATGATTTCTTATCCAATTAATCTCTTCAAGGAAAATGTTTGAAAGCACAGAATAATTCTTGCGGAATACATAAGGTATATGAAAATATTGATTGTATTACATTTATAAAATGACATTTTATCTTTAGTACGTATATTTATTTATCTATTAATGAGTTAACTATATATAATTCATGATATTTTTCATAAAATTCATTTATACAGAATAACATTGCTAGTGCCACTGCACTTGTTATCTTATTAAAGGGTATACTTACTACAACGATCAACACATTTGATAGTGACTTATTTAAGCGATATACAAGTTGTTAGCATTACATAAAATAAACTAACATAATAATATACCTTTTTTTAACTCATTCAAAACCACATAACTTAATTTGATTTATTAAAATGCGAGTATAATAGTTATATTCTCTCATGCTCGTTGGTATTGTAATCCTTGCATACATCCAAGTCAACATGGCGGTGCTGTTTTTAGTTTAATGCTAAAGCTTAGCTAGAGAAAGAACTGAAGGAATCCCGTGCATCGCAAGTGTAAATGTATAATGATTATCTTTCTCTTTTGAAAGAAAGCATGTGATTGGTGCATTGAGTTGGTAGTTGTTAAGATTTTAGGGACTGTGATAGAAAGAAGAGAGCATATATTTTATTAATAACACCAAATAGTTGTCATGTGGGAAACCTAGTTTTATAATCTAGTTTAGGTATTACTAAAGACACTAGGATCGTTTACACCCATGATTAAAATTTTCTATCATTATAATATCCTTATTTGTATTGGATATGTTAGTACCTTATGGATAGTTAAGCTACTCATTTTTTACCCGAATTGGTAAATTTGATTTTGAGATTTTTAATTCTATTATTTTAGTTTTTGGAAACTAATTGTGAGTACATGGGTATGGCTAGCATTTAATTTTTCTCCATATCTTTAGATACTTTTTCACGTATTTTTATATAAATATAGATTTGTTTATTTTCTTATCTTAGCCATCTTTATATGTTTTATCCTAGTAATCATTACAAGAAAGTTTTGAAGGAAAAAATTGTCAACAACTTGTAAACAAAAAACTTATAATAATAAAAAGTTATTGAAATTGTATATAGGATTACTTTTTTGATAGAATGTACAACGCTAAACTATGTTATTATTGAAAGTGTATATAGTATTAAACAAAATATTCAAATGCTCTTCGGATCAGAGGTTCCGTCATACTTTTCTAATGTTAGACCTTTCCAATTTTCTGATAACTTAGTTTTCAAGATATTTTTGAATGAAAGGATTTCAGCTTGAAGTACTATCTCGCTCTACTAGAGTCCTTGTTTACTTATATGTGTTTGGTTTTTTCTATAAAGCCAAAAATTTTCCTTGCTCCTAGATGAAGGGAGTAGTTTGAGAAGGTATACGGGTCTTGATTTCTTCTCTCAAATTAGCATTCTCCATTCTTAACGCCGATAACTCAAAGACGTCTTTCTCTCTCATCCTTTGCATCACCCTCATTTCAGCTATAAGTTGTCTTACTACCAGAAAAAAGACTTTCATTTCCTCCATCTTCGACTAAAACTTTAGGTATAGGTGGATTAGGTGTAGCATCCTTTTGCTAATGAGAGGCTCCCCTTTGCTGACTCGGTCCTTCTTGTTGGCTCATGGTAAGTATCATGATGGCTCTAAAATTGAGGCAAATCATGTCTCACGGTGGGTACCAAAATGTTCCTGTTTAGGATACACTGGTCTCTTCAATGCTCCTCTTTCTTGTGATAAGATGGCGTCCTTGCAAGCATCGCTAACTTGTCTCTGTATTATATAGGGGGTATATCTACAAAAGGTACTCCAATAATAAAGTCAAGTGTCAGTTTATGTAATAAATATTACTAAATATTTAAAAGTCAATCTTTTACATGTACGTCTTACTTTTCTTTTATAGACAATATTGTGGACTAATGGACTTTATAAGTTAACCTTGATTTTGGTCTTCTAATTTAAGTAAATAATGATCTAATTATTTATCTTAATTGATTTAATTATTTTTTAATTTTTTTAATTTGATCGGGAAGATATTCGTTATACTGAAGGAGCATTTGGATTCTTTCTTTTATCATTGAGATTGAGTAGTGTTCTATTTAATACAGAAATTATAAAGGAAGATCTTTTATATATATATATAGGAATAAAATTAATATTTCATTGGATCAGAGGAAAAGAAAGACAACATCTCATCATAAAAATTATCAATTTGAGATTTATAAACGGAGGAAAAAAAAAAGAATAGTTGGAGTCGGAAAGGTGACAAAATAAATATATAACATAATCATAAAATGTTATATGATATTTTATAATATTTTTGTGTTTGTCCTTTTTTAATTTAGAAATCGCATAAAAAAAAAATAAATAAATAAAAGTTTCTTGAGTATTTTTGGGATAAAATATTAACTTTACTTCGTTTTGAAAGGTATGAAGCTTTAATTAATAGCAAACCTTTAAAAGTTATAATTATTTGTGCAGAATAAAAATGATAAGGATGGAAAAAATATTATATTATATTTTAATTTATTATTTAATAAATTAATATGATATGAGAATAGTTTATTTACTTGTTATAATTATTTATTAATATAAAAGTTATTTTAAGGAGAGAGTTATCAAATAGGATAAAAAAAAATCTGAAACATATATTTTTAGTGATATATGTGTTTTCCATTAAAAAGTATGAAAAATAATTTTAAATTAAAAAACAAACCCGTAACCAATAATACTGTAACATTGATGTACAAAAAACCAATACTTTAATATTGATACCTGTATTTGATATGTTATTTTGGTACAACTAGAAGAGTAATATCTTATAAATTGGTCTTCAGCTTTGCGAATGGTCTGTTTCAACTTGTGGTTATCGAAATTAACCCACGTATCTATCTCTAACTTTAAAAGTAATTATCATCATGCTTAATTAATTTTTGGTTCTTTTATTTTAACTGATATATGATTTTAGTTTTTTTTAATAAACTAACATTTAACTTCTTCAATTATTATGATCAACTTTTTTTTTTCTATATAAACCGTAAAATACCTATTGTTTTTACTCAAATAATTAAAAAATTAAGATATATAATTAAAAGATTCAAAAAACACTTACAAAAAGTTTTTACATTAATAATAAAATTTAAACTCACATTTTGTGAAATATAAATTTAATTATTACCGACTGAACTTTTTTCCATATATTAATTATTTATTCTAAAAGAATTATTAGTGATAATATTTTTTTTATTAATTATGTATTATGATTGTTGATATTCTTTCACTTGATTTTAACACTTTAGGAATTTTTTTATTATAAGTATACATTTATCTTATATTTCATAAAAGTTTTTTAATAATATATTTTTCTGTTAAATTTAAAAATATTATTCTTTAACATATTTTATAATTTAAATTTATTTTTATTTAACTATGCCATGGTATGCGCTGCATATCTTCAGAGTTGCAGCCTTGCAGGGTTCTACGCCTTCTTATCTTCAGTGTCGGCACGCCTCCTTCGCTCACTTCTACGTTGCCGTTTCGTTCATCGGTGAGATTACGCTTACGCCCATCTCGTTGATTTCAGTGCGACTACTTTTTTAAATCCAAATTATTTTGTTGTTCCCCAAACAGCGAAACCCTAACCCCTAACCTATCCTCTACAAGTGTGAAGAGTTATTATTGATTTTCTTGTTTATGTATGCATTCGGTGTACAATTGGTTCTCTTTTTGGTTTAGTTTGGACCTTAACACCACCGAACATCTTGGTTCGGTGCATCCATGGATGAATAATTTATGCTTGTATCTTTGGATGCTTTTGGAATTTGTATTTGTTTCAGATTCTCTAGCATGATTGGAATTTTCACCTTTTCCTGGTATCTCGTAATTTCCCAAATCAAACCTATAATTTACAAATTGAGGGAATTCAATTGTTAACAATTGAAACACGTCATCCAAACACACACACAATAGAGATATCTCATAATTTTTTAATGTTTTTATAATCAACTTAAAGAGTCCATCGTTTTTGCTTCTTTGCCAGAATGGGCTAAAAGGTTCAACCATTATTAGACTGGTAACTTACGTAAACTGGAGCTGGTTTGATTGTTTAAAACACTGGTTTGATATTTCATTTTTGGTTCTTGAATTTGACCAGTCCTTTGATTTTATTGCCTTACTCAACTCTTGTCATTGCAAGTTTAATGTTTGGCACCTATCCCTTACACTGCCTATCTTGTCTTTATTTGTGACACGTTCTTCCTCTTTCTGATAGTTATACTTTTTTGTTCAACACAAGAGAAGGGCTTCCATGGAGAATGGAGATATTCCCGAGAATGCCAATGAGCGTATGTATTCACTTTTTTTTCCCTGGAATTTCACTTTACTTCGATATATGCCTATGAATATGACTGTTTTATATTTTGTATTGTGGCATTTACAGATTGCCCGGGTCCTCAGTCTGAATCTGCTGGAAAATCTGATGCATGTGAAGGATGCCCAAATCAGCAAATCTGTGCCACTGCCCCCAAAGGACCTGACCCTGGTACTCTTCTCCTATATTTAATGCTTCTTTCCAACAACTATCAAATACTTCATAATGACATGATTTATTTATATAAACGTGTCTAGATACCATATCTAATTATTCTAGAACTTTGGATTATCATTATGTTGTGACCTAATGTGCTTACTTAATAGAGATTGCTAGTAGTATGATGTCTCTCGAAGCTTGTTGTGCCTGCTTGTATGAGTTGACTAGCAAGGGAAGGTAGTGAATCATTTTCATCATTGTTCTTACCCTTGTCTTCATATGTTGGATTTTGGGATGGCATTGTCATGTCAAGAAATTTTAAGGTCTTGGTACGCATTTGACATGACATTGTTTTGCCTAGTTCGTTCAGTTTTCAGTCTAATTGGGCTATTATTTCTGTAGATTTTTGATAGTGGCCTAGTCAGTATTGCTTTGTGAAGGATTTATACATGGTTTATGGACATTGTTTTGACTTTTGAGTAATAAAATAGCGTTTAGCTTCAAATAAAATTTTATGATTGTTGTGTTCAGCATTCTGAGTGTTGTAAAAATTAATAAAGAAGCCATTCAGTAAACCTGATTTGATCCTGCTGTATAAGAATTTTAGAAATTGTTTCCTTAGTTTGGTAAGTATCTGATTCTTTGTTTATCCTTGTATGTTTTGGAGATTGTGTTGGGGGATTTTTTTTCAATGTAACCTACCAAGGGAAAATGGATTTTGGCCTTTATTGCAAACCCTTGATATTTAAGTTTTTGGTTGTTGAATTTATAGTTCTTGGTATTGTGTATTGTTGTATCTGTATGGATATCTTAAGATACATTGAAATATAAAATTTGTACATGGAAATGGCTTTACCCATTATATCGTGCATTTTATACATTAAAATATAAGAAATTACTATGTCATCTGTTCATTCATATAATCTTCTAGAAGACTAGAGCATATATTGCAATGAATCATTTGTGTTGGATAGCATCATTGTCTAGACATAATTTATCCACAATTAACGATGCTAATTGACGTGATAATAAAATTCCAATCTGATTTTCATACTTACTGAATGATTAAGATAGCTACTTAACACGCACATACATTTAGGATTATTAAAATATGAAATAGTAAAAGAGAGATTACACAGAAAGGGAGGAAACAAAGTTCTAATAATAGGTGGCAGACATCCTTGAGTCCTCTCAGACAGATAAATACTCAAGCCTACTGGTCACAATAGAATATCTAATATTCCAAACTGTAATTAGTGTGCTGCTCATTGTGGAAGGTGACAGACTATGAATGCCCACTACAGGCTCTTAGAACATAGTGCATCTGTGCTTTGTGACAAGATGTTTGCAGCATGCATGGAAGAGGATTCTTCCATGGCTCTGCATCCAAGAGCTTTCCACTATAGCTCTTTGAATATTTTTCTGATTGCAGTTTGATTCAAACCTAAGTGTGATTCAACATCTTCCATTAATCCTCAAATGTCTCAGCAGCATTGGTTTATTCTGCATAGCCAAACCGAGAAATAGGGAGGTATTCAACAGGGAAAAACTTTATTTTTAATCTATTCAATGAAATCTAGATATACTTTTAATTTTCCAAGTAGAATTTGTCATAGTTCAATGTGTCTATCATTACAAAGATCAGTGCATTCATATTGTGTGATATGCCCTGTCTATCATATGATAACTAATTAAATCTGATCCTTTGCTGTTCACAAAATATTGCAGACGTATATTGTTTGGCACTAACAAGTAGCAACTATTAGTTGAGTTGTATTTCACTGTTTAGTGTTATTGTCATGCTTTAACTGACACAAGACTTGCACTATTAGCCAGCTTATTATGATATGGTTTACATACTTTATTCTCCTCTTCAATAATAATTTGAAGGTTGATTAAGATATTAGATTAGCATGTTGGTCCTCTGAATCTGATTATTTTTATTCTAGAAATTCTTTCTGTCCCCTTATTTTCCCTTTATTTGATGGTTAACAGTGATAAAGCATACTTTCTTAATGAAAAACTTGTGTTTGCTTGGGTTATATTTTCTTTTCTGTAGTACTCCTAGGTTGTGTATAGATAGGGCATTTCAATTTTCTATTTATAAATTAAAATGCTGAGAAATTGAATTACCTTCACTTATGAAATTTTGGTCACCTTGTCTTCTACATTTGTGTTCGCAGATCTGGTTGCTATTGCAGAAAGAATGGCTACTGTGAAACATAAGATATTGGTGTTATCAGGAAAGGGGGGAGTTGGCAAGAGCACATTTTCTGCTCAGCTGGCATTTGCTTTAGCAGCAATGGATTTTCAAGTGGGTCTTCTTGACATTGACATTTGTGGTCCAAGCATTCCAAAGATGCTTGGCCTAGAAGGTCAAGAGATACACCAGAGCAACCTTGGGTGGTCTCCTGTCTATGTGGAGTCCAACCTTGGGGTCATGTCAATTGGGTTCATGCTTCCTAATCCCGATGAAGCTGTTATATGGAGAGGTCCACGGAAAAATGGGCTTATCAAGCAGTTTTTAAAAGATGTCTACTGGGGTGAACTTGATTTTCTAATTGTTGATGCTCCACCAGGAACCTCAGATGAACACATTTCAATTGTTCAATGCCTTGATGCCACTGGAGTAGATGGTGCAATCGTAGTTACTACTCCTCAACTAGTCTCTCTTATTGATGTGAGAAAAGAAGTGAATTTTTGCAAGAAAGTTGGAGTGAAAGTTCTTGGGGTAGTAGAGAATATGAGTAGTCTGTGCCAGCCCATCACAGATTTGAAGTTTGCGAAGTTGACAGATACTGGTGAGCAGAAAGATGTTACAGAGTGGGTTTGGGAATACCTGAGAGAGAGAGCACCAGAAATGCTGAATATAATTGCTTGCAGTGAAGTATTTGATAGTAGCGGTGGTGGAGCACTGAAAATGTGCAATGAAATGGGGGTACCCTTTCTTGGTAAAGTTCCTTTAGATCCGCAGCTTTGTAAGGCAGCTGAAGAAGGTAGATCCTGCTTTGCTAATAAAGATTGTGTCGTGAGTGCTCCGGCATTAAAGAAAATTATAGAGAAGTTGATTGAAAATAATGGGTTGTCATTGTTAGCAAGTAATGGAGTGTAGGGGATTTGCTTTATGGTGATCTTTGTAAATTAAACTATAATTTTGTCCATGAACCTCTTTGCACAGAAATCTGTTTAAGGCATTTAATATATAATGATATGGGTTTGAGACATTTTGGGAGCAGAAGTATTGGTTTTCTGGGTCACCTTGTAATACGTGCTTGACAATGTAGTTACAGATTAATTTACAGTAAAACATGTTTATCAGTTCGTATTAACATTGTATGTTTTATTGTGTTTAACATTACATGCATATTTCTACCTTAGATTTTTGTGATTATATTTCTTCAATACATTGAAGTTAGTTGCCATGTGAAAACTTGCCGTTAAATTGTGACTTGGTCAAATGATACTGTTTCTTTTGAATCCTTTGGTTGGTAAAATATTCATGCCTTTATGTTATTGTAGAATTGATGCAGGAATTATCATTCTACAAGGCTCTGTGTTATCGTGATCTAAGGCTGTAATATTTAGTTTTATATATATTGATTGTACAACTGGTAACTTTTTTAGTTTCGTGCTCGTGTTTTATGGATCGCTGTCCCGGTGATACTGATCTGTGACCCTAAGTGCGAAGAAGCCAATCGACGTGATACTTGCACTTGTTTTTAAGTTGATCGGAGGAACATACTTCGTGACTTGTAAAACATCAACTTCATCTACGTTTTCCTATCATTCTAAAAATGGGAATATTTTAATCCATATACAACTTTTCTCTTTTTGATTGTTTTAAAAAAATCAGAGAGAACTTATGACTCAAGCATTATTTTTAACTTATTTTTATAAATTTGTTGATATATCTTATTGAAACAAGTTTCTTTTTAACTGATTTCGATAGATTTTAAGATTAATTTGATGCCATAAGCCTTCAAGTAATAAGAACTTTTTGAACAAATATTTAATTAAGTTTACCTAAATGCACCCTGTAATTATTTGTTTTTATAAGTGCATTTCTTTTTTATAAAACTCAATTTCTAAAGATGTCCTGCTGGAATAATTATATGTAAATTACGCATTAGCTCAAAACCATCATTTGCAAGTTTACAACATGTTTGGATTTGTAGTCGGAAATCATCAGACATGTGTGCAACAGAGAGACACTACTCTTAGTAGTGTTAAAATAGACGTTGGCAAATAGTGTTTCATAGTATAGACCACGCTGGGATGGGACTAGGTACAGGGGAACTAAAGTTGACTGCATAAACTCCAATAACCATCCATGTTGATAGTGTTTCTATGATGTAGAAAACAAAGGAAAGTGTTTGTGTTCTTTCATGTTGTAGATGGGGCAAATGACTAAACGATTCTTGAGTTTTTTTTTTTGTTTTGGTATTTTGAAAAAAGGGATCAGATATCCCTCAGTGTTTAATGCATGAGTTGATGGATTGCATGATAAGGACATTAAAAATGTACATAAGAAAATCTAAAAACGAATCTCGCTTTTAGTCCATTTCTTCATATTATAATTGACTTTATTCTATAAATAAGAGCTAATACCATATACCAAATTTTAGATTTTTTTATAGTAATAAGGCCAAAGTAATCAATGAACACAGCCCCTTTTTTTTCGTCCAAATAAACACAGCCATAATTTGGGAAAAGTTACGCGTTGCCATCCATTTTGAAAGGCTAAGGTTGGAGCCATAACGATAACGATAAACGCTGACATTTGAACATAAAATATCGAGTTATCAAACTCCATCTTAAAAGCTTTTTCGTGTGATGTAAATGTTAACACTATATATATATATATAAAAGATTTTTTTACACTAGTGTAAGTTTAAAAATTGTTACACTCAATTTGAACTTTTCATTTAACTTATATCTAATGGTAAATAAAGTAATAAAATATAACCTATTAAATATAAGTTAAATGAAAGTTTCAGATTAGATATAAGAGTTTTTAGACTTATACTAGTATAAAAAGATCCTATCTTCTCTCTATATATATAACTTTTTAAAAAATGTCTACAAGTATGCAGTAAAAGAAGAGTAAAAAGTTTATTTAGAATAATTATTATATATAGAATACAAAATTTTAAATAAATTAAAATATTTGTTACAGTATGTCTAATATTTCTTAATATAGGTCCATACACATTATAAAAATTCGTTTAATCATTTAATTTGACTTTGTTGCCTATTATCCATGGTAATGGTTAAGGAACCTATAAATAAAAGTTTTTCTATGGAAATAACTTTCAACGTTTAGTTTGTTAATAATTTTTATTTTTTTATTTTTTATCTTCATTTATATTGATAGCACTTTTAACTTCTTAATATGACATTTATTATTATTATTTATCATTTATGATAAATAAATTATTTGCCATAAAAGTTAGAATTTTTTCTTTAGTTTTGGTCTAATGAAGTGGATAGTCTCTATTTTTTTTAAAAAAAAAATTATGAAAATAATTCAAAAAATTAGAATACTTTCTTTGCTCTAGCTAATTGGATGCTTTAGATAGAATGAAAGATCTAAATTCTCATTTATTATAGCAAGAATTAGATATTTAGTTTTATTTTTATTTATATAAAATTTATTTAAACAACTTTGTACCATCACCATCTTTCATGTAAGTAGAAAGGTGAGGGCTGGAGCAGTAGGAGAGTTGGGAGAGTGGGAGGGGAAGAAGGACTGGGGCATAATGAGTTTTAACAAGCTAGACTAAAATAATGTTTAAAATAATTAGTAAATTCAATTTATTGTTAAATTATTTTTTTTGCTATTAGAAAGGGCTTAAAAATCCAAAAACAAACAAACAACCTAGCCAACAAACAAAGGCAGCCATAGACGACTAGAATCTAAGCTAAGTAAAGGTAAAAGAAAGGAAGGAGGATTCTTAAATTGAGAGAAAGAAGCCTAATTTGGCAAGGGAATCAACATATTGGTTGGCTTCCTTACATATATGAAAAAATCTAACAAACTCAACAGCTTTAAGAGCATTTCTAATATTACAAATAAGAGAAAACAAAGGATGAGATGAGAGTTAAATTTTAAACACCAAAGCAATTATGTCTTTGGAATCACTCTCTATCCAAATGGTAGGGATCTTAGTTGAAATGCCAGCTAGATGACTAAGTAGATATCCCATAATTTAGCTAAAAAGGGATTGCAAGGGTCAAGGCTACTGTAGTATCCTATAATAAACTTGCCATGACTATCCCAGATCAATCCACCATAAGCAACAACTCTATTGACCCTTGAAATAGCTCCATCCACATTTAATTTAAGCCAGTCAGCAGGAGGGAGAGACCACTTGGTCATGCCATTGTCAAAAATTAGACAAGAGTAGGGTTTAGGATCAAACCTGCTACAATAGGAAAATAGATCAACATCATATAACGCTATCCTAGCTAAAATAAGAGGTTGGAAGGAAAAATTCTAAAAAATAAATTGGTTTCTATCCTTCCAAATGAACCAAATTACATTTCCAAATAACATAGGCCAATTATGGAAATTCTTAATGTAGGATCTGGAAAGATTTGACCACAGCCAGTGAGAGGCACCATAACTGAAAAACTACATCCAATGATTAGAGAAAATAAAATGATTCCAAACTTTTCTAACAAAATCATAGTCTCTTATAGCATATATGATAATTTTAGGACCATTCCCACACGTAGGACAAATAGGGGAACTGATCATTCCTCTATTAAATCTTTCCTTATCAGTGAATAATCTCTCATGAGCAATTTTTCATAAGAGAAAAGCAGCCTTAAGAGGGTTCTTCCAATTCCAAATTATTTTGAACAGGTCAAAATTTTTATTATGATTGCTACTAGATTTATCCAGCAATTAGTAAGTAGATTTTAAGTTGAATAGCCCATTGCTTGAGAGATTCCAGAAAGCCACATCAGGCCCTTCGGACCTAGTAGGAGTGAAGGAGAGTGGTAGACTTCCTTACTTGCTCAGTGATGAACGAAATATTTTCACGTTTTGCATAAAGATTTGTCATCAACCTTCATCAAAATATGCAGAAAAACTTATAGTATCTAGGATGCAAGCGTAGGTTGTCTCCGATGACTTTGGTTTGTAATATACATTGAACATGTTGTAAACATTTACTATGAAAGCAATTAATACAAGGGAGTTTTGTGTGATTTAAATTTTAATGTAAAGGCAAGTGATGAAATTAATGAATCCAATCAATGAAATGTGCAATCCTTAGGTTGTTCATGTAATTCTATCCCTATCTCTCTCAAGATTCAATACTTTTCCTCTTCCTCTGAATTAGGGTAACTCAAAAAGCAAGAATTAACCTTAAAGTCTTATACGAATTAAGCAGTTTACATGGACTCCAACCATTTTTCCTAAGATTACGCAACCTTAGAAACTAACTTAGGATTAAGCAAACCAAGTTAAGAATTTCATTAAAATGAATTAGAGTTAATTAAGCAATGTCCCCCTCATTCAAACATTAATTCAATTCAAAGAGTTGGGAGATATAAATTCATAAAGGAAAGGGAATTATATTGACATTCATACCCAGGAATTCAAGAATCCATGAACTCACTAAGGATTACAAAAAAGTTTAGCCTTCCATGAGGATGTGTGTTACAAATTTAAGATTAAAGCAAAAGGAATTCAATGACATCAATGCAAGAATTAAAGGAGAGTGAAGAGAAATTGTAAATCAAACCCTAAGATTGACCTTGGTTGTCACCCAAGGGTCCTAAGCTCCGCAAAATGCTCCCAAAGTGACAAAAGAATCTAAAATTCTACAAAGATCCATACTCTAATTTCTAAAAATCTATATATACTAAGTCTGACATGACCTCATAGTGATCACTCTGTAAACAAGAGTGATTACGCGCAGCAACTTCAGATTTTTCCCTTTCTGGAGTGATCACTCTCACTTCTGAGAGTGTTTACGCGCAGACCTGTGATTCTGTAGCTTTCTGGAGTGATCACTATCACTTCTGAGAGTGATTATGCGCAGGCCTGGTGGTTCTCTTTAGCTTTGGAGTGATCACTGTTGCTTCTGAAAGTGGTTACTCTAACATATCCCTTGGAATCAGCTCCCTGGAGTGATCACTATGCACTACTAGAAAAATGTTTAATATAGACGGATTTTACAGACGGATTTGTGGAATAATTTTTTTTTTCTGAAACATCCGTCTGTAAATCCTTCTGTAATACAGACAGATTTTAATCCGTCTGTATTTAGCCCGCCTTTTGGCGCCAAACGTTATAGACAGAAATTACAGACGGATTTTTCTGTCTGTAATTTGAAAATAAGAGGAAATATTATAGCGGGAA